GCTTGAGCCCAGGAGTTTGAGGTTGCTGTGAGCTAGGCTGACGCCACGGCACTCACTCTAGCCAGGACAACAAAGCGAGACTCTGTCTCCAAAAAAAAAAAAAAAGAAAGAATACCTAAAATGTTCTCATTTTTCTATTATAAACAAATACTGATAGGGATTCAGAAGACTTAATAGGTTACCACCTGACCTGAAAACATATGCCTCATAAACATTAACAAATGAGTTCTCAATGAAAACTAAGTCATCAATCCTATGAAATGAACTCCTTAAATACTGACACACCCTGAAAATCAAAACATAGTTCTTTGAGCAGGCAAAGAATTATATGTGGTGAATAACATTAAGAACATGCTGGACAAATTGAACATTTCCAAAGATCTCTCCTATTTTCAACTCAAACATGTGATGGACAAGATAATAGAATCCTCACTATCTATGTAGCAAGAAATGGCATAAAACCCTGGAAAACATAATCTAAGCACAACCATGGCAGGGCAAAGCTCAAGAGGACACACTGAATTGGCTCACAAATAGCAGGTACACTCAAAGCTATGCTGATAGGATTTTAGCAGCAGTGGCTGTGTACAGAGGCAGATGATTGGGAGTAGGGTATTTATGAAAGCCTTGTGTTTGGAGGAACCAATATAATATAATACAGTATTGTAAATCTCAAAAGTGGACTATGAAGCAGATATTAGGGTAGGCCGATTACAGTGGTTAATGACAAAACGGGGTTGCCAGGAAGGACTGCCATCAATAGGTGGCAGGGGAGCCAGGGACCCCCATAGGCCAGAGGATGAAAGCACCTCTGGGCAGATGAAATAGCCTGAGGAAAGCCCTAAAGGCAAGAAAGTTTTGGGGGGGGGGGTTGTAAATGCCCATGGTAGCTGAAAACACAGGTGAGGGATAGTCAAGGTATCAGGAAGCACTATTTAACAAGTCAGGACAAGCCCAAGAAAAGTACTGGGCAACACATTTAGGGTTCTGATACACAATCAATGTGCTAGAGGGCTCATTATTGGCTCACAATTTAAAAAGAAAAAGAAAGAAATTCACCCACTATGATTTTGTACACAGAAATAATTCATTCTGCTTTCTCAACTGGTCAGAAAATGCTGCTATTCCTTCTTCACTCTCTATTTCTGTAAAATCTGGTGCTAGTTAAACTAAGTACATGGTCACCAAAACTTAAAAGCAAAAGCTCCAGGCCTGGCGCGGTGGCTCACGCCTGTAATCCTAGCTCTCTGGGAGGCCAAGGCCGGCGGATTGTTTGAGCTCAGGAGTTCGAAACCAGCCTGAGCAAGAGTGAGACCCCGTCTCTACTAAAAATAGAAAGAAATTAATCGGACAACTAAA